ATTGTGTCCCAGATGTTCTGGGTGTTATACAGACATTCTAGAAATTGTTTAATTTGTTTCTCAGTTTGTTCTGTGATCCATTGTTCAGGAGTAGCTTATTTTTTGGGTGTTTCTAAATTTTCCATATTTTTTCTATAGTTAATTTCTATTTCATTGCACAGTGGCCTGATAGTGAATATAGATTATTTTGAATATATATATATATATATATATATGTATATATATATATATATATGTAAGCAGGCTTTGTAGACTGGTACATGATGATTTTGAAGAAAGTGCCTGTGCTGTATAGAATAATTTATAAACTCTGCTTATGTCATTTATGTTTGTTCAAGGCTGTGTTTCAGCTCTGATAATTCATATTTTGTTTAGTTGATTTCTTTTTGAATGTGATGTGTTAAGAGTCCCTACTATAATTTTGTTGCTATTATTTGCTCTTTTATGTTCAGTAGTATTTGTTTTATGAAGATAAGTCCTCCAGTATTCAGTGGATATTTATAATTATTATCTTGTTGGGCTGTTCCCATAAGTAGTGTGTAATGACCTTTTTCTTTTTCTTTTTTTTTGCGGTACTGGGGATTGAACTCAGGACCTTGCGCTTGCCAGGCAAGCGCTTATTCTGAGCTATCTCCCCAGCCATTCTTTTTCTCTTCTAATCAGTTTTAACTTACAAGTTTACATTGTTTGAGTTTGAAGTTGCACCCTCTGGTTGTATTCAGGATTGTTCTTATGCATGAAATAGTGTTTTTTATCCTGTGATTTTTAGTCTTTGAATATCTTTTTGGATTAGTTCCTAGAACGTAATGGACTGTTGGATTCTATTTTTTTATCCAGTCTGCCAGTCAAACATTATCAGTGAGAGTTATTTTGGAGAGGTGGTGATTAATTACTGCCATTGTGTTCTTTCTGGTGATGGCGCATTTGTTTTTCTTTTGGTTGTTGTTGTTTATCCATTCATCTTGCTCGGTATTTTCATAATTATTGGTTTCATCATTTCTGTCTAGATGTTAAGTAGTTTTAAGAGTGCTACTTTAATATTCATATTTCTCTTTTTTTCATTTATTTATTTGATATAGGGTCTGCCTATACAGCTAGGACTTGTAGTGATTCTCCTGTCTCAGCCTCCTAGGATTATAGACATGTGCCAACATGCCTGGTTTCAGGGACAACATGCCCTGGGGATCTGGTGTTTGCAGGGCATGCAGTACCAGAGATCAAACCTGGGTCCTTGCACTTGCCAGGCAGGCCCTTAATACCACTGAGCTATTTCCCCAGTTCAGTATTCATGTCTCTTGAGTGGCTTTTTTTCACAAAATTTTTCGTATTTCTCTGTATTTTTTAGCTAAAGTTGTTCTGATTATGTTAATCTGTGATGTAAGTTGTTTACCCTCTGGGCTTGAAATATGTCAAGCACTTTTGGTCTTTAAGATGGTGAGAAATCTGCTGTAGTTCTACTGAGTTTACCTTTTCATGTGATTTTTTTTTTCTTTGACTGCTTTTAAAATTCTGGTTTTTTAAATCGGACATTTGGCAATTTAATAATGATATATCTTTGTGAGCTTTTTCCATCATAGTTGTTTGATTTTCTTGAAGCCTCATTTGTAGCATATGTTGAACTGTATTCTTTTATTTGGGAAATGTTTTACTGTGATTTCTGTAAGCATTAATATGTCATCCATGTTATCTTCTAGCTTTCTTATAACAGCGGTTCACTGTTGGATGATCTTTTTAGTGTTGTCCAGTAGCTGTTAGATGCTCTTATTCTCTTTGTTGGCTTTTCTGAGTACTTCATCATAACATATCATTTTGTCTTCATGTAGTTCATTTCTACACTTTATGAATTTAATAGAATTATTTATTTCAGGTTTTTCTGCCTGATACTTTTTTGTGGATTCTGTATTTTTAGTGTGTTTGTCATTCATATTTTGAACCATTTTTATCAGCTCTTCAATTTTTAGTTTCTGCAAATCCACAGTGGCCATTTTGAATGATAATGTCTGTTATGGTTTGTATCTAGATGTATCCCCAAAGCCTTATGTGGTCATAGAATTTTTTCAGAGGTAGGTATGTTTCATCTGTCCTTGTGACTGGATTATTAAGGTCTCCCGTTATTGAGTGTGTCTAGTAGCATTTTATGATGTTGGATGATCCAGTGTTTGGTGCATATATTTACAATTGTTGTTTCTTTTGAGTTCTTTCTTTATAGTGACCTTCTTTGTCTCTTGAGATCAGATTTGTCTTAAAATTCAGTCTGACTGAAAAACTACAGTTTTCCATCCTTCAATTTTAATCTGTGAATTTGTTGTTGATTAAATGTGTTTCTTAAGTATACTCTTGAGCTTTGTTTGATCCATTCTGCCAATATGTGCCTTTTGTTTGGTGGGTTGAGACCCTTCACATTGAAAATTATTAGTTTTCTTGTTATTGCATTATTTTTGTTATTGATTCTTTTTATCCTTAACCTTAGGCTGGTCTTCTTAACATTTTCAAGAAGCTGGATCAATTTTATTTTCTTTGCTGTTTTGTTTTGTTTAAAATAAGGTATCATTGAGTGTGTTATTTTGTGCTTTTGTTGTGTCCTCAAAGTCTGACACTTTTTTACATTGGTCACTTCTGCTTTTTCAAAGTCTGACACTTTTTTACATTGGTCACTTCTGCTTTTCATGTATTCAGTAGAATTCTTTGTATTCAGGATTTTGGGGGGGCATCTTTTCATGGGACATATTTTTATGGTAAAGTTACTCATGTTTTGAATGGTTTTAATTAGCTCTTCTAACTTCCAGTTGTTCTTTAACCACATTAGTCAATTTATGATTCCACTGTCTTTTTCGACCTTGCCAAGTTTATTTCCTCTTTAATCATTTTTTAGAGCTCAGCAGTTTGGTGTTGATTTTATTTATTTATCTCTCTCCATTGTTCCTCTTTGAATCTGCTTTTGGCAAGATGGGACTCTTCTATTGCTTTTTCTTTTCTTTTCTTTTTAATGTTCATTTTTTAGTGCTGAGGTTTGAGGCCATATAGTGTAAACAGACTTGTTGCCATGAAGATCTGGTTAGTTAGGTTCTGTTTTCCAGGAATTAGTGTTGGCTCTGTTTGTCAAGTGAGACTATTTACCACTTCACCCTATTCAGTTCGATTGGGTTGAAGTCAGTCATTGTGTTTTAGGAAGAGAATTCCTACTGGTTTTAACAGTATCCACAAATCCAACTGTATATCATCATCAATGTTATAAAACCTGTTTAATCAGTTTTTCCCTTTTATCACTTCTTACTGACCAGCCCAGCCCAGACTACATTATACTGTTACAATATTAGTGTTCAGTTTGGGATGTGGAGGGTGAAAGGAGGGAAGGGAAAAGTGGGAAATGAAGGTGGTAAGTCTGTAAGTAGAAATAGAGATAAGAGAAATGTCTGTAGTTGAAAATAGGAGGTCAGACTCTCTTGACGGTATTTTCATAGTTGGAAGAGTTACTTAAACAGTTACAAAGAAGAGGTGGCCACAGCATGGGAATGCATAACTGTAATCTTAGCCATCAGGAGGCTGAGCCAAGAAATTTGAACACCTTGAATTCTAGGCCAACCTGGGCTATATAGTGAGGTCAAGGACAGCCTGAACTACAGAATGATACCCTTACTCAAAAAACAAAAACCAGTGTGTTATAATCAAAACAAAAATCAGTGGGAAATTTATAATCTTAAATTTACTTTTTTCACTAAAAATGAAAAAGAAAAATTCACTGCATGTTCATCACCAGCTAGAGGACAAAATAACAGAAACTAAACCTCAAATAAGGAAAGCATTAAATATAAATAAACTAGCCAAGTTTTAGAGAAGTAAAAATCCAGAGAGCTTTTACGAATAGGCAATTCATATCTCATATAATGAACTGTTACAGAGATAAAAAAAAATGGAGCTTCATTTTATAAAGCAGGTCCAATTGTGAAACTCCGTAGAATAAGAAAACACGTAGTAGTTTTATTCCCACTGTGTGTCTTGCTATGCCTACCAGGCCAACTTTGAATTCACTATTTAACTTAGGTTGACCTCAAACTCTCCATTTTTAGCTTCAGTCTCTTGAGTGGTAGGGTTATAGGCATATTCCACCATGACTCCCTGTCATAATATGAATGGCTTTTTAGTACACAGAAGAAGAGATTCGTTGGAGGAGCTCTTCCTTAGACAGTCTCAGGAACATACTCAGTTTTAGTCTGAAAAATGTACCATCTGTGCCTTAGTAAAAGGCTGAAAAGAAGTGCTACTGAATGTACACATGGTGATGTGATACTCTCTCTGTCTTTCTGCCCTTTCCCCCATTTCTTTTGGATAGATATTTGGGCAGAAGCAATCAGGCAATATGTCTATAAGCAAAACAGTAATTTCATTCACAAATTTTAGCTTTAACCAGGTCATTTCGTGTTGTTAAATATTAATAGAATATGAAATTAAATGTTTAAAAGACTAATATCTGAGCCTGCATCTACTCTTGAAAATGTTAAAATTAGTAAAGTCTTTGTACTATTGACAGTAGCAGAATCCTTTCAGCCTATTTTGGGAAAAAACCTGGATATAAATGATTTAGTATATTACTCATATGTCCAAGTAGTGTTAGGCAAGAGATCCTATGACATACATGTATGCCTACTATGTAATTTACCTAAGTATGAGTATAACCATTTTTTTTTTAAAGCACAAAACAGAGGATTGCTGACTGTGAAATGTATTGCTTGTTGAGAAACTATCCACAGTTTTGTGCATAAAAAAAGAAATTTAATTAAGAGTATTGTCATCTGGCCATTTATTTGAGGGGTTAGGATAGTTTTATTATGATTTTCTGTAATTTCCGATGACATATTTTATGATCAGTTTGCATTATTTTCTTTGTTCTTCACTATTTTCTGAGGGATCCCATTTTTTGTGGGTTTCTTGTTATGTACACATGTATTATTTCTGTTGCCACACTGACACTTGATTTCCATTTCACTTTGGTGTCCTTTCAGGCCAAGATAGCCAGGTTAACCAAACGTTTTGGAGCAGCCAAAGAAGATCTTAAGAAAAGACAAGAGGTAAGAATTTCTAGTCTTCTATAATTAATATTTATCTCTAAATGTTAATCTTAGGAAATGCTAATTTAAAGATAAAATGTTTCCTTTATTTATAAGTACAAAATTTATTTTCATTCTATACACATATATCAACATTCATATTAATGTATTGAGTATAAGCCATTCTTAAAGCTATTTGGTATCCAACTTTAAAATTATGTCTTTGAAATTTGTTTTACCCGCTTTATGTTTTCCTATGTTCTACTCTCTTATTATTGCCCAAAGTATTTTAATATGGATCCAACTGCTACTAATATTCATATTCTTCTCTTTTCTTCCCCATATAACATATATATTATGCTATTATTGTAACATATAGGTAAAGATTAGATTAATTTTGTTGCCTTAAATACTTTCTGTTTTATGTGTGTAATTTTTATTTAAATGTAGAATTAGGTCCAGACATGATAGTACGGTTTTTCTTTATAGTCTGGGTTTTGCTGTGTGTGTGTGTGTGTGTGTGTGTGTGTGTGTGTGTGTGTGTGTTAAGGAATGGTCTCCCGGGTGTTCAGGGTCTCACTACTAGATCGGACTCAGAGTGATCCACCTTTTTACAGCCTCCAAAGAGCTGGGATTACAGGCATGCGCCACGCGCCACCATGCCCAGTCTCAATTGCCATGTCATCATGCCCCGGGGGCGGGGCTGGCACGGCAGGCCCCAGGGAATGAACCCCCAGCCCCAGTGTCTGCTTGCAGGCGCTTTAATCCACTGAACTATTTGGCTGGCCCTGCTTTTTGTTATTTATTATTATTTTCTTTACTTATATTTTTGATATAGCAATTGTACATTGTATTTCTGTACTCCTTTATACATATATCTGGGTTTATGTAGTTTGTATACATGTTAATGGTAATAGGTAGAGATTGAACACAGGGCCTTTACAACACTACCTCAACCCTTTTAAAATCAGTGAGAATAGGATCTCCCTGAGTTGTTAAGTTGCTTGGGTCGAGTTGAAAGTTGAAAGCCTCCTGTCTGTCTCCCAGAGTGTTGAAATTACAGGAATATGCCACCATGCCTGTTTTGAATTTCTTTTATTTCAGTAGGCTGCTTTACTTCCCTCCACTCCCCTCCCATTCCCTCCTTTGTCTCTTTATAGCTATATAATCTTACACAAAATCTCAATGATGAAAATTTTAATAATCATTTCTAGATTGTTTTTTATTGATGTATTTTTATATCTTCTTTACTTGGCTTTTTAAGGACAGTTTCGTTTGAAGAAATTATGCATGCACTGGATGTCTTTTAAAAGTTTCACTAACCACTCCTGGTGGTGAATTTATGTAATTACAGTACAATATCAAAACTAAGAAATTGGTACAATTGTACTAAGAAAATGGTACAATTCTAAAACTAAGAAATTGGTACAGTTCTTTATTAGGTCTTATCACTTAGCACTTTTTGCCATTATTTATTTATTTACTTACTTTTTTTTGTTTTTTGAGGAACTGGGGATTGAACACAGGCCCTTGTACTTGCCAGGAAAGTGCTTATTCTACTGAGCCATCTCCCTGGTCCCCCTATAATTTTTTATATGCATCCTTTGTATATGAATGCTCTGTGTGTGTGTGTGTGTGTGTGTGTGAGAGAGAGAGAGAGAGAGAGAGAGAGAGAGAGAGAGTAATTTCATCTTGTGCAGATTTATGTAAACCTCGTCATAGTCAAGATAATATACTTTCCTACCAACGTTAGAGAAGGGTTCTTTTTTTCCCCAACATCATCATCAACACAAATTCTTTTTTAATACTGAGTATAGCTATTCTTGCTAGGAAAGAGAATCTCAGTGTAGTTTTGATTTGCATTTGCAACATGGCCAAAATATGTGAAACATTTTTTCATATTTTTACTGACCAGTTTTACTTTTGAGAACTGTTTGTTCTCTTTACCCATTTGTTGATAGGGCTATTTGCTGCTTTTGTGTTTTTTAAGTTCTTAAATACTCTGGATATTAATCCTCTTTTGGAAGAGTAGTTACAAAAATGTTCTCACAAGTCTGCCGGCTGTCTCTTCACTCTATTAGTTGTTTCCTTTATGCAAAAACTTTTTAACTTGATGCAGTCCTAAAATAAAATTTATTTATTCATGTATTTTTATTTATTTATTATTATTATTATTATTATTATTATTATTTTTATTTTTATTTTTTTGGTGATACCAGGGATTAAACTCAGGACCTTGTGCTTGCCAGGCAAGCACTTATTCCACTGAGCTATCACACTTATTCCACTGAGCTATTTCTCTGGTCCTGATGTAGTCCTATTTAAATGATTGATTCTTGCTATTGGTTCCTGTATTATTAAAATCCTGTGGAGGAAGTTGCCTGTGTCTATAGCTCTATTAGCAGTTTTGAAATGTCAAGTGTTGTACCTAGGTCTTTGATCCATTTTGAATTGAATTTTATGTAGGCTGAGAGATAGGGATCTTGTTTTAGTTTTCTGTAAGTGAATATCCACTTTTCTCAGCTCTAGTTTTCTCAGTACTGTCTCTGTCTCTGTCTGTCTGTCTGTCTGGCTCTCGCTCTCGCTCTCTCTTGCTCTCGCTCTCGCTCTCGCTCTCGCTCTCTTTTGCGGAACCAGGGATTGAACTCAGGCCCTTGCACTTGCCAGGCAAGCGCTTATTCTACTGAGCCATCTCCCCGGCCCCCCGTGTCATTTGTTAAAGAGGTTATCTTTTTCACCAGTGTATGTTTTTGGCTCCTTTGTTCAGAACCAAATGATTGTAGTTCCATGGGTTTATTTCAGTGTCCTCTAGTCTGTTACATTGGTGTTCTTTTTGTGGTAGTACCATCTGTTTTTGTTACTATGGCTTTGTAGTGTAATTTCAAATTTAGTATTATAATGCCCCTAGTCTTGCTCTTTTTTCTAAGGATTGCTTTTGCTGTTCTGGGTCTTTTCTATTTCCATATGAATATAGTTTTAAAAAAATTTTTTAGTTCTGTAGAGAATATCATTAGCATTTTGCTGGGAATTGCATTGAGTCTGTAGATTGCGTTTGGTAATACAATATGGGTGTTTTAACAGTACTGCCAGGGCCGGCCAGATAACTCAGCGGATTAGAGTGCCTACTTAGGTAGATGCAGGGACCAGGGGATTGATCCCCGACTTGCCATGCTGGCCCCACCCCTGGGGCACACTGAGACAGCGACTGAGACTGGCTGTGGTGGCGCACGGCTATAATCCCAGCGCTTAGGAAGCTGAAAAGCAGGAGGGTCACTATGAGTCCAGTCTGTGTAGTGAGACCCTGTAGACTAAGTATATTTAAAAACAAAACAAAACAGTACTGCCAGTCTTCCCATCCTCTAATGTCTTCTTCAATGTCATTCTTCAATTTTCTCAGTTTCATAGTAGAGTTTTCTCACTTCCGTGTTAGACTGATCTTTATGTGTTTTATTGAAGCTACTGTGAATGGTATAGTCTCCTGATTTTCTCAGCTAGTCTAATAGAAAACTATTGAATTTTAGAAAGTATATAAGTATATATATATATATATATATATATATATATATATATATGACAGGGTCTACAGGGTCTTACTACATAGATCAGACCATAGTAATCCTCCTGTTTTAAGCCTTCCAAGTGCTAGGATTATAAGGCACAAACTACCACGACCAGTCTTAATCTCCATCTCAGCATGCTTTGGGGGCGAGGCTGGAACTATACACAGGGTTTTGAACCTAGGCTGCTGCGCTGTGCCTAAGCAGGTGTTTTAGTCCACTGAGCTATCTGGCCAGCTCTGTTTCTTCTTATGCCTAATTTTGTATGAATTCTGCTACTGTGTTGAATAGAAATGACAAGAATGAGTGGGTATGTCTGTTTTTGTTTCTGATCTTAAAGGTACAGCTTTCACATTTTTGAGTTCTTTAATTGAGTGTGATGTTAACTATGGGTTTTTCACAATGGCCTTTGTTAGATTGTGGATGAATTACTTAAATACCTAGTTTAATGATATGCTTGTATCCTAGCACTGTGGATTCTAGCATGCTCTAATCCTACTGTTCTGGCTGAGGTGGGAGACAGCCTAACTGTATATTGAGTGTCATCCACCCCCCACAAGTGTTCCTCTTTTCCATTGAACTTTGTTTTTTTTAACAATCTTTGGATTCTTTGATTTTGGTCATGGTAGACAATCTTTTTAATGTGATTTTAGATATGATTTGACAGTGTCTTCTTGAAGTTCTGTTTCCTTTTATATTTTTAAATAAAATCGGTATCTCTGTTTTCTGGGCTGGCTAGCTCTGAATCCCTGGGCTCGAGCAGCCTCCTACATAGCAGGAGCTACAGATACATGGCACTATACTTACCATTTTTAAACTTTTTTAATGTCAGTATTTTTCAGCTGTGTTGAAATTTGTCAAATTTAGTGCATATTTCAAATATTTTGTCTTGATACTTAGTAATTGCAATTGCTTTGTGATTTGTTTTCTTTCTCAGCCAAAACTGTTTGATAGTTGCCTTGCCTCCTAAAACTAAGACAAGTAGCAAGGTTACACTGTAGCTTTTTAGTATATTTGGTATCTGGTAACAGTGGCTTTACAAAACAAGTTTAGAAACTTTTTGAAGTATTTGAGGAAAATAGGTATTAAATGTTTGAAAGAAATTTCCTGTCAAGCCATTTGGCCTGGATTTCATTTATTGGGAGGTCTTTGTCACTTGTTAAATCTTATTAAAGTTTTTTTCAGGTATTTTTGTCTTTATGATTCATCTTTGGTAGATGTGGTGTTACAAATCTATTTTTAGATTATCTAGTTGCCTGGCATATAATTGTTTCTTACAGTTTCTTTCCATTTTCTTTATATCAGATCTAATGTCTCCCTTTTCATTTAAGTGTAGTTAATTGAATAATTTTTTTGTGTTAATCTAGTTAAGGTTTTGCCAATTTTGATTTATTTTTTAAACCTCCTACTTTCATCGAACCTTCCCCCCCATTTTTAAAAATTTATTTCTGACATAATTTTTACTATTTCTTGCTGGTAACTTCAGGTTTTAGATAGTTCTTTTAGTTTGTTGAAGTGTGAAGATGTTTTGTTTATTTGGTATCTTGCTTTGCCCTTTGCCCTTTTTCTGCTCTCCATTCTTTATTCTTTATTCTTTATTCTTTTTTTTTTTTTTTGGCATTAGGGATTGAACCCAGGGTATATACTCTACCACTGAGCTACATCCCTACAGTCAGGCTTTCATCAACGAACTTTCTTTTTATGTTTAGTACTATAAGCTGTTTTCTTAGCACTGGTTTCACTTATATAGAAGTCCTGGCATATTATGTTTTCATTTATCTTAAGGTGTTTTCTTTTTCCTAGACTCATTGAGTTTTCAAAATGTATGTTATTTAATTTGTGCATACTATGTTTGGGTATTTTGTACTTTCTTTCTGCAATTTAATTTGAAGTATTCATTATTGCAGAAAGGATTCTTAGTATTGTTTTGTTTTATTAAGACTTTTTTGAATTAGTGTGATCTATTCATGAAACTGTTCCTGTATGCTTTAAAAAGAATGTATTTTTTGCTGCTGTTTGATAAAATATTCTGTTTATGTCTTTTGGGTTAGATTGGTCTGTAGTATTAAGTCTTCAGTTTCCTTATTGATTTCTTGGCTACTTTTCAATACATTATTGAATTCAGTATATGAAAGTCTCTTACTATTATTATTTCTTCTATCAGTTCTTTCAATATTTGCTTTACATATTTGAGGGCTGTATATAATTGTTTTACCTGATAAATTCTTTTATGATTATATAATGTTGTTCATTGTGTTTTCTGACAGTAGTTGACTTAAAATGTAAGTACCGCCACCCTTACTGTCTTGTCAACAGTTATACAGGATGTTTCTCCATCTTTTCACTTATAGCCTTTGTGTGTCTTCATATCTAAAGTGAGTCTCTTTAAGAACAATTATGGCTAAATTACCTCCCTTTCCCCTCCCCTCCCCTTCCCCTCCCTGTTCCATCCTCCCCTCCCCCTTCCCTCCCCTCCCTTCTCCTCTTTCCCCTCCCCTTCCCTCTCCCTCCATTTCCCCTTCCCCTTTCCCTCCCTTCACTCCTCGCCCTCCTCCTGTCTCCTCCCCCCTCTGTGTACACTGGAAGGAAGGCTTTCACCAGTCAGTGTGGATAGAAATTTTGTGGGCCCCTGAAGCCTTTTTTGGAGAGGAGTCTGGGTTTTGCTTTAATCTTCCATCTAAAGAAATTTGCCTGTTTTTACTCTGGAGCTCCCTCTGGTATCAGTATTCAGTACTGCAGTTGTCTGTGCTGCAGCAAGACTGCTGGTGTTGATGGTACCCTTGGTGCCGTCTGCATTAATATAACTTCTTAACTGAAAGGTCTTTCCTTTAGTCTTGGAGGCTCCAAAGTATCAGTGTATGTCACAATCACAGTCTGTATTCCAAGCCAGCTGTTTGAGTTAGGTAAGATTAAAAACTAGTGCTTTGAGCATCCTATCCAAAAAATTTGATGCATGTTCTGTTCTTCTTGGTGGTGGAGAAGCCTTGATTTTGCTGTTCCATACTTGGAAGTTAATTGGGTGTGGTAGGTAAATGAACATACTTTCCTAGTCACTCCACTATGTCTCTTTTTGGTCTTATTCTTGCCAGCGGTACTATAATCTCTCATTTTTAGAAGTCTCACAAAGACAATCTTGTCCTTACCTTGTCAAGTCATTGTCCCCATCAAAGGAGGGTCATGCAGCTTCCTGTTCTATCATATGCAGGTCTCACCATTCAAAAACTATAGTCATTTATTAAATGATTCCTTTCCATATTTTAAGCAGTTTTATTTATTCTCTATGCTTTTTTCCATTTTGTCCTCTTATGATTTAGATCTAGATTGTCCCCCAGTGGCTCTTGTGTTCAGAGATGGGGCTTTTTTGGAAGATAATTGGATCATGGGGGTGCTGTGGCTGACTCCTCTTTAGTTTTCAGCCAGGTGGGCCCTGGCTGAAAGAGGCTGGTTAGTAGGGCTTGGCCTGGAAGGGTTTATCTCCCTCTCTGACTTCTTCCTTTGCCCACTGCTTCCTCGCAACAGCAATATTTCCTCAACTGTGCTCTCTGCCCTACAGCCTACTGACCCTGGATTTTAAACCGTTAGCCAAAATAAACATATCTTTGTGTGTGTTGTATCATCACAGGAAAGAGACATCCCTGAAATACTCATTTCTTTTGTCTTAACCATTTTGAATATAATTACTTAAAAACTTGTTACAAGTTATTTTCTATTTATTTCACAGATGTTTCACAGTGTTTGTCTTGACAGATTTTTAAATATCTTTATATCGCAGTGTGCCTTAATTATCTTTTGTCTCCTCTGTATACATACATATCAAATACAACACTATACTGATAAGATTATTTTATTAAAAGTAGTGAAATGTATTTGTTATTGAGGGGAGTAGATAGTGGCATCCACTTCATGCCATGCTCAGTACTTATCACCTCTGGCTTAACATGTATTTTTTTACATTCAGTCTCAAGTGAGCTTATTCTCATTTTAAGAAATAAATGATGATAGTATTATTAATGGTGAGTGGTGGAAGTCTAAATAATGATAATAAGTAGATATTAGAATTCCATCTCTGTATGCCTTATTGGGGGAAAGGGCTAAAATAAGTTACCACTGAAACTTAGAACTGTGATGTCATTAACTGCAATTATTGAAGTCATATAATGTCAGGTAGAATTTTAAAAAACAGAGTCAAAAATTTAATTTTGATTTGCAATATTTGGATACTGTTTATGTATTATTAAATTTTTGGTGCTAATATATTTGCTATGTATCTCAGCATGTGAGCCGTTTTCACGTTTTCGTTTTATATAATCTTTGCAAGAATACTGAGTTATAAGAATTATTATATTCACTTTTTAAATGATGAGCAGTTATCTTTAACAGTAAATAGTTAATTTCACTGTATTTTTTGGTTGAATTATTTTTTGGGGGAGGTTTATTTTTTGTTCTTGGTGCCGAGGACTGAACCCAGGGCTTCCAGCTTGCTAGGCAAGCTATCTACTGCTGAGCCAAATCCCCAGCCCCTGCAGTGAATAATTAAGATACAACCAATCAGTGGCAATGGCAGAATTTCAAATTCTTGTCTCAAGTAATGTTTTCTATGATATCATAGAAGTAATAGGTTACATACTGCAAAAATCATTTATAGCTTTTACTTTTTAATTTCCACATATTGGCTTTTATGTTTATTTGGGTATTTCCTCCTCTTAGAACCCACCAAACCCACCTGTATCACCTGGAAAATCTTCAAGTGATATGATTAGCAATAATATGGCCTACAGGTGAGAATCATAATCTGCTTTTCTGGTTCTTAAGTAATATAGTAAGGTTCTACTTGTCTTTAAGGTAGAAAGATCTTATGATCGTACATATTTATATAGAGATAACTGTTACACTGGGTTGAGAATATTTCCTTTTTTTGGCTTTATTACATAGTCTGTGGCTATTACTTATGTCAGTTTATTATAAGACTTTTGTTACTGAATAGTTCTCTAATCTCATGAGTATTCTCAAATAATTGAAATGTTTTTTTCATGTGTAAAAAAGCTACTGTGTTATACTGGAACCTTCTTTTGGTCTCGGCTTAAGTATTAATGATGTTAGAATATAAAAAAAGACCGTTCTCTAATGTGATAGATGCCAGGACTTAGAAGTTTGTATGCTATTTGTGCTTTGATGTGTTAGCTTATAGTTTAGGGCTGTAAAACCCAGATCTAGTCACCACTTTCTTACTGTAGGCCAGTGCTTTTATATATGTCAATAGTTTTCCCTAGAATGGCCTATCCATTAATTATTTGTATGTATATACTTCATAGAAATGCAAGCACAGTAAGACAGATGTTGGAGTCCAAAAGAAATGTAGGTGAGAGTGCACCGCCATCTTTTCAAACTCCTGTGAATACAGGTAACATTTTTTTCTTAGATATTAAGGCTTTGGTTATCTTACATTATTTTGAGGTGGAAATGGTCTAGAAAACTGGGTTTACTGGTCTTAAGTACAAAATGTTACTGAAAATTTGGGATCACAAATAAGTATACATTAGAATATAGATATTAAAATTCCTGATTATTTCTCAGACTTTCTGGTCTCCAGATCCTTTCACAGTCTTAAAAATTAAAAACTTCAATGTGCTTTCGTTTCTGAGTTACACCAATTCATACTATCAATTTAAGTTAAAAAATTAAAAAGAAATTTATTGATCTAAGACTGCCAATAAACCTGTAAGGTGTAACAACATCCTTCAGTAAAAAATACCTATAATTTTTAAATTAAAAATACCATTGGGCCAGGGATTTAGCTCAGTGGTGAAGTACCTGCCTGGCAAGCGTGAGATCCTGAGTTTGATTCCTGGTACACCACCACCCCGCCCTACCTCCTCACCCCTCACAAAAAATATAATAGTGAAATACTAGCTTTTATTCTCACAGCTCTCTTTTCCTTAATATACTGGCATAAAGATAGCTAGCTGTAACTGGCTTCAGACTCTCAATTCTCTTGCGTCAGCCTCCAAGTGCTAGGATTACAGCTGCCACACCAAAGTTTGTTTCATTATATTAATTTGGCTGAAGTATATGAACAGAATCTAGCCTCATACAAACACATAAATGGAAAATGATTAACCCCTTTAGGTAACTGTGGATATTCTTTGTTTTTAAAGACAAGGTCTTGCCATATAGTTCAGGTTTGTTTTGAACTCACTACATAACCCATGCTGGCCTTGAATTCATGGTAATTTTGTGCCTCAGCCTCTCAGTACTGGGATTATAGGCATGCACCATCACTCCCAGGCTGTATTTTCCTCTTTCAGTACTGTCAAAACTAGTAAGTTAAATTAGTAGTTTAAAATTAGTGCAAAGTGGAATCTAAAACCATGCTAATAATGGCCTTTTCTCATTGTTTTTCTCTAGGTCATTCTTTTAAGTAAAAATGGTCATTCATGAAAAAGACTGCTAATCTAGCTTACACAAGCACTATTCCTTATGTCAGTTAATCCTGTTTTGGCATGTAATTATTTTGTTTTATATCACCTATTTCTTTTATACTACTTATTTGTTCACAGAGTATTGAGATTGCCTAGTCAAGTATTGAGAAATACTAAAATTAATGGTTTACTGCTTCATTATGGATATTTTTAATTGAAATGGACTTGTTTTTAACTAAAAGCATAGGTTAATGAAGAATGTGGTGACAGTATGGCACCACTATACTACCTTGATATTTTATTTTATTTTATTTTATTTTATTTTTATGTATTTGGCACAGAGTCTCACTATTCAGTTTGGACTCGTAGTGATCCTTGTTTTTTCAGGCTTTGCAGTGTTGGGGTTACAGATGTGCACCACCGTGCTTGGTCTCAGTGGCTGGCTCAGCATGCCTGGGGGCAGGGCCAGCGTGCATGTGGTGTCGGGGATGGAACCCGGGGCCCTGTGCTTGCCTAAGCAAGTGCTTAGTCCAGTGAGCTATCTTGGACCCTACTACCTTGATTTTTGCACACCCTTTTATCATTTTATTTTCTAGAATTTCAGTTTCCTGTGGTGGTCAAATATTAAATGTAAAATTGTAAGAACAGTTCATAAATTTTATTATGTGTATTGTTAAAATTGTCATGTATTATCTTTTACTATGCCTTGTTTATAAATTTAACTGTATCATAGTATCTTTTACTATGCCTAGTTTATAAACTTAACTAAATCATAGAGTGTATATATACTCATGTGTGGCATAATAATAGCATTTTAATCAGTGATGAACTATATGTAAGGCAGTTGTTCCATAAGATTATAATGGAGCTGAAAATTATTATCACTTGGTAAAGTTGTGGCTATTGTAAAATAATTCAATATAATACCCATGAGTTTTATGTTGATGTTAATGTAGATTTACAACACTGCCAGTTTATAAAAGTACAGTATGTAGAATTGTATACAATACATAATACTGAATAACAATCATGTTACTAATCTATGTATTTATTATAACTT